AGTTATTACTTTGTGTTATACATGCACGTTATACAGGTTCTGGAGAAACCACTAACTCAATGCTAATCTTGTTTGACTTTGACGACACGCCTACAGAAGCCCTGACCGTACAACGTAAGTTAAAACACGATGTTCAACTTATTCTTGCAGTAAGCATTCCAGCAATATGCCAGCACTATCAGGCGGGGGACACTAGGGAAAGATGGGATCGGGTAGTCAGGTTCGTGACCTGGTTAATCACATGCGGTTTACCCCATATTAGTGAGGCGATGTTCATTATGTCAATCACTGGACCGTGGTCATGTAGCTGGAACTCTGCTGAGTGGAAGGTAGTCTGTCTCACAGTCCCTGAACCACATTAATTTCCCTACTGCCAAGCCCTCTCTGCAGTGCTAAAGCCCTAAATAAAGCAAGTCTAGATTTCCTGAGATTCAGGTTCTGAATCTCTGGTCTCCCTAGGGCTCCTTTTCAATATAAATGGGCTTGTTTGTTACTATCAAAATTATATATATTCAGAGACTAAGCCTTAGTCTAAGTGGAAGGCTGAACTGACACACACAGCAAATGTTTCATTATGATGGTATATATGATTTTACTGGCGCTTCAGCCAATACTGCACGCGGGCACGTTATGACGCGGTCGATATCCTGATATTGAACGTGTGGATATGTATTAACTCCATGATGACCGAATGGCAACAACCGCAGTGTAAGACAGAGTCACCGTTCAGATTGCTCAAGAAGTTGATGTCAAAATAGTAAAAGTCATTTGTAGGAGGGGCGGCGGGGTAGCCTCGTGGTTAAATCGTTTGCCGTCATGTTCGATTCCCCGACATGGGTACAATGCACGAAGCCCATTTCTGGTTTCCCCCCGCCGTGATATTGGTGGAATATTGCTAAAAGCTGCGTAAAACTCAATTCACTCACTCATTTGTAGGCATTCAAATTTTTGAAAGGCATTTAGAAGTTGAACGAACATGGATACGTGACACGTTTATGGTTAACAACTTCTCTTTATTCCTTATACGAGTGAGTGAGTGAGTGAGTATGGTTTTACGCCGCTTTTACCAATATTCCAGCAATATCACGGCGGGGGTCACCAGAATTGGGCTTCACACATTGCACCCATGTGGGGAATCGAACCCGGGTCTTCAGCATGTCGAGCGGACGCTTTAACCACTAGGCTACCCCACCGCCCCTTCCTTATACGACGTTTCATCAGGTGAAGTGAATTAGCTCTGAAACGTTGTATTAAGAATGTATATGTTGTTATCCTTACAACGTGCCATGTATTCAGTTGTAGGCATTGTTTTAGGTTCACTGACTTAAGTCAAAAGTAAACAACACAGCGTGAAATGATTCACGAAGCATGAAATGACACCACGCCCTCGCCAAATCATTTCAAATCACAGCCGAGAAGGAATCTATAACACGAAGTAGTACATTAACCAAAGAGAGCCCCAGGCAGGGCCGTGTCAGGCCGCGCTGCTTCGTTATACTGATTCTGGACGCCCGTCGGACACTATATGGCCCCAGTCGAGGATGTTAAAACCCTATGGTCCCATCACTTTAATTGTAAGAAGCAATTAAGTACTAATCGCTTGTCATGTTTAAGCACGTAATGTTATGGATATCAGTTTAATCCCATTAAGATAAGAGATAATCTGGGTGCCGAAAAGCCCGAAGAGTTCATAAATTATTCTGGCACTTTACACTTTATAATGGATATAGAGGAGCGCTAGTTATGAATGAATATTGCTTTAAGCCGCTAGTTATGAAGATATAATGTATATACATTAAAATGTGGCACTTGAGAATTGGACACCTACTCATGCACGTTCTGCTCAAGTTTTATCAAGTAAAAACGGAAAGAAATTATCTTTACGGCAATAATATTAAAAACACGTGATGCTAATTGTTTCTATGTGGTGTATTTTGTTTCATTTTTACTGTTTTGGGTGTGTTTTTTCATTTGATTGGTATTGGGTATCTTCTATGTATATTATCCCTTGCGTTTTCTATTCGTTGTTTGTTTTGGATTTTGTTGTGTGTTTATTTGTGTTTTTTTTGCTTTTGTTTGTTGTTTATTTATTTTTATTTATTTTTATTTTATTTTGGGGGTTTTGTTTTTGGGTTTTGGGGTTTGTTTTTTTGTTTGTTTTGTGTTGTTGTTGTTGTGGGTTTTGTTTGTTGTTGTGTTTTTTTCGGGGGTATTCAACACACAAAAAAGGACGACCCGCGGAAACGTACAACCTGAACACTTGATATATGAATTTTATACAGACTGGATGTGTGAAGGTAGGATTGTCACATGTATGTTAAGCCTTTGAGTGAGCAGTACCATGATTTCAGCATTACCTACTACTGTACATTACAGGCTTATAACCACTGGTCGGCATAGTGGTAGGCGCTGTCTTTATAGCTTAGTTCCCAGCGCGACATACACAGAGAACCATTCTCTTGATACATCTGGTAGTCTGTCTGCAAGCTCCTAACACTGATATCACAAACACTGTATTCAAAAGTAAGCACAAGAATAGTTAGTTTTGAAATAAGTTTTAATATAATTTAAGAGAAAACACATGGAAGGATGTATTCTGCCATATAAGGTATCAGTGATATGTCCCAGTATACTGGAGATACCTGACTTCATATATAGACTTAAAACAAATATACTCTGTACAGCACGTCTAGACGTCGGGAATGTGTGGCAAGTCTAGCTTACCACAGAAAGTCTCCGGACTCCTTTTTAATTTTATCTTGTGAATGTAAATTAAAGATGATTTTTGTAACATTTGCTCATTTCAGAGACTAGATGTTAGTCTAGAAGGGACGGTGGTATTGATGGGGGTCGGCAGTATGCGAAAAGACTCGAGACAGAGAGAGAGAGGAGGGAGAGTCGCGTCTCTTGGGCACACCAGGAATGTATGATAATGGGATCGAACCGAATCGAATCTGATGCGTTGTTAGGATTTGGCACTCGTCTTAAACCTGCATTACTCCGGCCTTCCCTCCCACATTATACGGACATGTCGTAATATACATGGAATACTTATAAAAGTGACCTTAGGACCAGCTCACTCACTCACTCACAACAAAAAGGATGGCGTTCTGGGATTGAGGATGAAATATTTTATGGATGTCTTTCGTGACTATCCAGGAATTCAGACTGGATGAGAATCGAACATCTACCGTGTAACTGTTGCCGACATTTATGTATTAATTGTTTTTTATCATTCTAATTTTAAAAATGTGGGTTTTTGCTTTGTTTGACGTACATGTAGGTATTTCTGTTTGTTGTTTAACGCCGCTCTCTAGACTCCATCTTCATAACGGACGAGTCTGCGCCAGAATATTCTTGTAAAGTGATACCATGAACATCGTCCTGGGTAATCAAGATATGATGAGATGCAGCGAATCTGATCACCCGATCCCGTAAGTCGCACTCCGCCGACAAAAATGGGCTTCTCAAGACTAACTGCCACACAGATTTTCAAAGATTAGAAATGTATAAATTCATTAACATGTATATATTTCTTGCATGGAATTACTTCCTATTATACAACAGAATATTTATACTAAGATAATTACTGTATTAATTGCATGTTTTTCTAATATGTCATATATCTATATTTCAAACCAACCTTTTACAATTGGTACCGACCAAAATACATTGATATCCCAGAACGTATACAATATATCTCGGTATAATTAGTTACATCGTCATGTAATAATAGAACTAAGTTACAGTTCCACAAAAACAAAACAGTAATAATTATTTAGCAATTTGAAAGAAATGAATTAAAAAATTATCTTTTTGAAAAAAACAACGGAAAATATTAGATTTTCAGTAGCACTTTTATTGTCCCCGGTAACACAAATTAAGGGTCAGCTCAAAATTCGGCCCCTGCCTAAGCCCCCAATGTCAACACATACTGATTCACTAACAGTAAACGTGCCACAAATCGCAAATGCCAAATCTTTTCAATCAATCCCAATTGGATAAAGACAATTGATCGTTTATTTATCGTGATTATCCTACTTCCTAAATCTTACCCAAATCTTTTGTGCTCCTGACATCTTCGTAATGAGTTTATGACCACGATAATCGAACCGTTCACAACATAGCTGGCGGGGCCGGGCATCGCGTGACCGTCATTGTCGGATTTACCCGTATATAGTTGAAGTTCGCGGCCGAGAGGATCATTAGCAATATCATCTTCCAACAAAAACAACTTCTCTGAACATTTGGAGTATATTTTAAACTGAGGTAAGTGACTATTTCTGTTGTTTTTGTAGATTTCTTCAAAAAGTCAAAATATCAAGCGTGGCTAGGTGTTGGGTTTTTTCATGATTTCTTTTTCGAAAAACGAAAACATTAGAGAAACTTAAACCTGTAGACAGAAAACATAAGTTAGTAACTTATCATACAACAGAATATGGAAACGTTACTACCTGCCTATATGAAAAAACATATTCGCAAAACGTCATAAAAGTTATATATATATATGTTTTCTCCGAATATCACTTAGTGTACATATTTAGAGGAGGCTATATTTTTCCATTATATTCTACTTATACCTCATATGTATTCTTACATATTTACGCTTCATGTGAACCAATGAAAAAAATTAAACAAAATTGAAAAGGTTGAGAAAATATTGTCCAAATCTATTTCTTGACATACACGAAAGCCCATCACCGTGACAGACACTGCATGTGATGATATAGTTTGGGTTTACATTCATCAATATGTTTACATTGAAGATGGCAAATCTACTAACTTACATGTTACACTGAGAAGGATGACTTACACGTGTTCGGTAACATTGCCACCGTATGTGATGATGATGTTCAGGTCGTCTGCATTTGAATATATATTTTACAATTAAATTCCTTTTATTATTGTAGATACCAATGAGAGTCCAGTGATCACACAAGCATCTTTGAAAGACTGAATTTCAAGCACAAAGAAACAGTGATCCCCGTCTTCCTGCAACAATGGATATAGATAGTCTGACCCATGGAAAGCCAGGTGACCCTGATATTCTCCAGTTCACAAATCTTGAAGTAGCATCTCTGTATCCCGACCCTCACGCACCTGTTCCGGGTCAGGGCTTGCCAAATACCTCAGGCCTACCGCACCACCCCCAGCCAATACACCAGTACCCTCCCTTCACCCCCAGCAACCCCTTCCCCGCGGCAATGACACTCCCTCTCATAGACGAAGACCTGAAAGAAGACAAGGATGCTATCTATTCACACAGCCTCTTCCCTCTCCTGTCCGTGGTGTTTGAGAAGTGCGAGTTGGCTACGTGCTCCCCTCGTGTAGCAGGAGGAGGGGTGTGTTCCTCGGACTCTTTCACTGAAGACATCGACGTGTTTGCCAAGCAGGTTCTCTCCAAGTCCGATAAGTCCTTGTTCACCGACAACCACGAGCTCGATAGTATCATGATCCAAGCCACCCAGGTGCTGCGGTTCCACCTGTTGGAACTAGAGAAGGTCCAGGAGCTTTGCGACAACTTCTGCAGTCGTTACATCAGCTGTTTGAAAGGGAAGATGCCCATTGACCTGGGAATGGAAGACACCGAGGGTGGAAATGACGACTCCAAGAGCTCTAACTCAACCAGAGCGATCAAAATTGAAACAGATTCAAATTCCCGTGATCCAACCCCTGGGCCTTCCTGCAGCGCAGGTTACAGTCAAGCAGACGACGCGAGACCAAGGTCACGGAGCACGCCCCTGTCGTCTGTTTCTAATGGTCAGGACGGTAACAGCGAAGCTGGGGAGACGTTAGACAACAGCGTTGGGTCTGGAGAATGCACAGACGGCGAGGAGGAGAATACAGTTGAGAATCGTTCGACCAAGAGACAGCAGAAACGGGGGATATTCCCCAAAGGGGCTACAAATATCATGCGTGCCTGGCTGTTCCAACACCTGTCTCACCCTTACCCTACGGAGGATCAGAAGAAACAGCTGGCACAGGAAACGGGCCTGACTATACTCCAGGTCAATAACTGGTTCATCAACGCAAGAAGGAGGATCGTGCAGCCTATGATTGACCAGTCCAGCAGGGGAGGTAATCCGCAACTGTTGAACGAATTACGACCCAAATCCACAGAATCGCTGCCATACACACCCCCTTCAAGTACATACTCCCCCTACACTCCCGACCCCGGAGTCAGTTACCTTGACAACCAGCACATGCAGATCGGAAGGTTGCCAGGGATGCCAGGGATGACCGGAAGTGATGTATACGATCCGATGAAGGGAGGTTACTCTCATATGCCTCACGGTGTACAACAGTATGATATGTTTGGGATGCAAGGCGTGCCTCGTGCAGATATGTACCAGATGCCAGGTGCCTACCAGCAGCTGTCCCCGTACACCACGGGCCTACAGCCACAGCCTATGATGTCTATGTTCCCGGGACAGGGGCACAACATGATGCATGGCCACAACCCCAACCTAGGGAATGAATAGACCAGTCTCAAGAGGAGACAACTGCTGTCTTCCTCAACTTCCATTTTGATAAAGGAAAACCTATAAACCAAGTTGCCAAATGATATATTTTTAAACTTAGTCTTAGAATGATAGATAATATATGTGTCGTTTTTTATTAAAACTGTTGCGTCTAGGTTGACAATCGTTACCGTAGATACAGTATTTGTTGGTTTGATTACATTCAGTTATATTGTTTCGTTGCCATACATAGTGTGAATGATCACATTCTAGAGTCGTCAGTTTATGTAGTATGTAGAATGTTTGGTTGGAATGTTAATAAAGTTTATAATTTTTATGTGATCGTCCTGTTCCATGTGACGAGAGCTATGGATATTGCCAACAGAACCTCTCTTCCTTGCTTGCTACACTCTACAACTCACTGTAGAGTGGATACTGATTCTATTCACATCTTGTACCATTGATACACACACGCACACGCACACACACACACACACACATACGCAGGTATGACGAAAATGTAAAGTTGAACGTACGCTGTGTCTCACGTTCAGACGTAGGCCAAGGCAGGGGTTTAGATATACGCAATGACGAAAGGTCTGAAGAAACATACACATTGACCTAACAGAAATTAAGACTTGGTCAGTAACTGAAGTTTAAATGTACGGAAGTTTGTAGATGCGCAATGATGTCGGGTGAGGCGCAAGGATGCATGATTCTGTTACTACTGTTGGACGTTACATATTCTCTCTTATACCTGCAAGTACATTGCCACCATCTTGTAATATCGGTGCTGGCTTGTTAAGAGGGTGACAGCAGTGGCTGAAACATGGCAGGGTTCTTCCAGGTATTGTCGGGCTGAGAATAGAAAGTACTTCGCATTGCTTCTACAAAAACATGTGTCCACACAAGCTGTTTCCATATTTATTAAACAGACATACAGACAGACAGAGGTTATTTCCAGTAAAAGGCCGTAGGCCAAAAATACATTCAAAAGGAAATTCCAGTAAACATACATTGTGACCACTACCAGCACATAAAGCACATCGTCTCTAGTCAAGATAGATATCTACTACAAAGACGCCGGATATTGTTGGTGGCGAACACGGAACAGCAGTGAACAAGTGCAGCAGGTAAGTCTGGATATTAGTAGGCATTTGAGTTATAATACCAGTACACACATTATGAAGCAATATGGGTGATAAGATAAGAATAGCTTCAGCCAATTGTAGAGGTCTGGCAGAAAAGAGAAAACGTAAAGAAATATTGAACCTTTGGCGTAAAAAGAAAGTTTTCAATTATATGCCTGCAAGATATTCATATTTCCAAGGAAGATGAAACTACTATGAGAAATGAATGGGGTCTTCAAAGCTTTATAGCACCATATAAATCAAATGCAAGAGGGGTCGCTATTTTATTTAGCAATAATTTGGAAGTAAGTATCCACAAATTCATGACTGACAACAGTGGAAACTATATAATAGCAGATGTAACTATAGAAGGAATAAGAATCACATTGACTAATATATATGGTCCTAATCAAGATCAACCTGATTTTTATAATGCATTATTTCATAAAATTGATGAATTTGAAAATGAATCTCTCATAATATGTGGAGACTGGAACTTAGTTCTTAATCCTTCCATAGACTTAGAAAATTATAAAAATATCAATAATCCAAAAAAGCAAGAAAAGTAGTGCTAGATAATATAGAAAAGTATGATTTGACAGACATTTGGAGGGAGAGAAATTATGATGTAAAGAAATACACATGGTGGAAAAAAAACCCTAAACAACAGTCCAGACTTGATTTCTTTTAGTTTCTCAAGATTTTAGCAAACATGACAACTGACTGTTCAATACTTCCAGGATATAAATCTGATCATTCAGCAATTACCATGTCTTTTTCTAATCAACTTAATAAGGAACGAGGTGGAGGATACTGGAAACTAAACACATCATTACTTTATAACCAAGAATATGTAAACATAGTCAAGGATATGCTTTTTGAAACAAAATTAGAATACTGTAACTGCACTGAGGATGAACTAGGTGATATTGAAGATTCTAAACTACAACTTAATATAAGCGACACTTTGTTCTTAGAAACATTTTTAATGAAAGTGAGGGGGAAAACAATATCATTCTCTTCCTACTTAAAAAAAAAAATCAAAACTGAAAAAGCAAAAATTTAGAAGGAAAAAATTTTGGCAATGGAAGAAGAAATCAGAGAAAATTTCCAAACCATATGTGAAACTAAACTTTCTGAACTATCCAAATGTAAATTAGAGTTTGAAAAAATTAAAAGAAGATGAAATAAGAGGTATACAGATAAGAAATAGAATTCAGTGGTATGAGGAAGGAGAAAACCAACCAACTATTTCTGTCATCTCGAAAATAGAAATTATACCAGTAAACTTTATGAATAGTGTTCTCAATGACAAAGGGAAGTAATATCAGATGGTAAGGCTATATTAAATGAACAAAGGCAATTTTATGAAAATCTATACTCATCAGGTGGTAAAATAACAGATAAATATATTAATATATTTGATGATATTATTACACCCAAACTGCACACTGTACAGGCTGAAAATCTTGAGGGTGATATTACTATAGATGAAGTAACACGAGCCGTTAAATCAATGAAAAATAACAAAAGCCCAGGAGTAGATGGTTTCCCAATAGAATTTTTTAAATTTTTCTGGAAAGATCTTCATATTTGGGTTTGTAGATATATATCAGAAGCATTCAGGCAAAATATGTTAAGTCCAACAATAAACAGAGGCGTCATCACATGTATCCCAAAAGCTAACAAAAATAGACAGTTGTTAAAAACTGGCGCCCAATTTCCTACTGAATTCTTTGTATAAAATACTCAGCACATGTATAGCCAATAGAATTAAAACAACATTGAATACTCTTATTCATGAAACTCAGACAGGTTTTATACCTGGAAGGTGTATTAGCGAGAACATTAGATTATTATACGACATTATGTTTGAAGCAAAAGTACAAGATAAAAGGGACTCTTGTTGCTTATTGACTTTGAAAAGCTTTTGACACTGTCTCTAAAGAATTTATAATTTTAACAATTGGAAAGTTTGGCTTTGGACCCAATATGGAAAAATGGATCAAAATATTAATCAATAATGCTACATCATGTGTTATACAGAATGGTCATTTATCACAATTTTTGACAATGAAAGTGGCTGTAGACAAGGGGACCCAGTCTCTCCCTATATATTCATCTTAGTGGCTGAAATATTAGGAATAATGATCCGTAACAACGCTGCAATAAAAGGAATTACATTGAATAACACTGAACATAAAATTGGACAGTACGCAGATGATACTGAATTATTTCTCGATGGGCGCGAAGAAAGTTTAAGGGCAGCAACTGACACTCTCAATAATTTCTACAAAATGTCTGGTTTAAGAATAAATATAGATAAAACGAAAGCAGTGTGGATAGGCTCAATGTCAGGTAGTAGCATGATTTTATGCCAGGACCTTAAGCTTGATTGGCATAATGAGGACTTTGATATTCTAGGAATAAGACTTAATCCTAATTTAAATAACCTTTGGGTAATTAATACAAGAAAAGACTAGAAATTATTAATAGAACTCTAGGGAATTGGAGGAAAAGAAAGTTGACATTAATAGGGAAAATAACTGTTATTAAAACTTTAGCACTTTCATCATTGGTGCATATATTCACCTCACTCCCAAATCCTCCAAAGGAATTCATTGACAAATTAAACAATATATTTTATAAATTCATCTGGAATGATAAGCGGGATAAGATAAAGCGAACGACACTTATTAGAAAATATGAAGAGGGGGGACTCAGAATGGTTAATGTACAGGTATTCATAAACTCTTTAAAACTGTCAGTTTTACATAAATATCTTCAAAATAATAGCAATTCTATCCCTAGTATCTTTCCATTTAAAGATATATTTCTGCTTGGAGCCAATATTGAAAACTATGTCAGTATTATAAATCCCTATTGGAAAGATGTATTGGCTGCATGGGGAATATTCTATAAAACACATCAAACTGATTTTACAGATATTGATCAAATCTTATCTCAACCCCTTTGGTTCAATCACCAATTCCAAAATAGTAATTTCATTATAAGACATTGGCATCTCAAAGGTATTCACTCTATAAGAGACTTGTGTAATGATCAAGGTATTTTGCCATTTAGTGAACTTAAGAAAACTTACAAAATTAAAGGCACAATTCTTGACTATTACCAGGTTCTTTCAAATATACCCAAAAATGGAAAGAAACTATAAGAAAGAATTTATTGATTGTTCATAATCATTATCTTAACACATCACTGATAGATTTACTTTCAGCACCAAAGAGATCCAGATATTTCTATGACAAACTTATAACTACTGAAAACCTACCATCAACATGTGAAAAATGGCAAAATATCTTTGATATTGCAATTCCATGGCAAGATATTTTTAGAAAATATAGAAGATGTACAAAAGATACCAAATTGATTGACTTCCAGTTTAAATTTATCCACAATATTGTCTACACAAAGAAAGAATTATTGAGAATGAAATTAGTAGATGATGAACTTTGCTCATTTTGTAATTTAATGTCAGAAAATTTGATACATGTTTATTGGGAATGTGAATGTGTGAAAACGTTCTGGCTGAAAGTGAAAGAATATATTGAAGATAAATCATCAGAAACTTTTACCCTTACAAAATATACAGTCTTAATTGGCGGATATAATAACGACCTTATGAATCACATACTTCTTGCCAGTAAAAAAATATATCCATATATCAAGTATTAAAAAAATAAATTATCACTGGATACATTTGTAAAAATATTGAGTGATATCTTCAAGACAGAAAAGTTTATTGCCAGTAAGAATCAAAACATATTACAATTTGACAGAAAATGGTCATCTCTACTGCACACATTCCCAGCCTAATGAAGATCCCAATATGTGTAATGCCAACCCATATGAATTTCTCTCCTACGGTGTACAAGTGTTGTTGCATCATGTGCTTTGTATACATGTATCTACTGATTTTGAATGAATAAAAAAAAAAAAAAAAAAAAAAAAAAAAAAAAAAAAACACATGTCACCGATACAAACAAGTAGATAGATAATAGCCTAGGCGGAGGCGGATCCCGAAAGGGGGGGGGGGGGGACCCACCAACGCCTACCCCCCACCCTTTTGCCCTGAAAGTTTATTAAATGATCATTGAAACTCTGATGAAAACTGGTGAAAGTAAACTGTGCACCCCGAACAAAGGCTTCAAGATCGACAATAGTGAACAACTTGCAACCTGTCGGCATGAGAAGCACACAAGCCGAAGACTTATATATCACATATCAGACACGCCCACGCACACCACTGTGCTACCCCACCGCCCTGACCCAGCTTACGTAGTAACGTGTTCTTTCATTTCATAGGACGTACGTGCGGGTTTTTTTGGTATATGACAAAGTAAGAAAAACTGACAGGCCTTTTGTTCTTATTAAATGTGACGACACGTACAAATCTGAAACAGAGCTTCTTGCAGTTCTAGGATTGATGATAAAGGCTGTCTACTTAAGGCCTTCATAGTGGTTAGTGAGCAGTTTGGTGATCTCCTCGCTCAACACTTTCCACTTTAGCCCGTGTTCCTCTACATCCACCTTATCGGGGTGGTAGTGCGTCACGGCCTTGCAGTACACCTTCTTCAACTGGGTCATGTCAGGTTTGTCTGGCAGGTCCTCCTTTTTATAGATGGGGTTCTTGGGAGGGTAGGTCTTGTAGAGGAACTCCAAAAACTCCATCTTGGTCGACTTCTCAAAGGCAGAGTTGACCTTAGTCAGGTCGTCTTTAATTTCGTCCTTCACCTTGTCCCTCTCCTCCTGTTTGGCCTTCTCCTCGTCCCTGACAGTTTGTTCTTGGTAGCGCTGTACGGCTGTCGTGGCGTAGATGTGCCAGTCTGAGACAAGAGGAACAGGACATTTTGAATGGGCGCCATTCAGGGATAACAAGCTTAGGTTTTTCGATTCTTTCAATACTTGGTTCAGTGTTGTTTTTTCTTAAAAAGCATAGGCTCGGTGCTTTTAGTATTATTTCAGTTAAAACGGTACTTTTATGGACGCTGATTATGAATACCATTATCAATGTCTCACAGTGCACGGGACTTCCATCCTCAACTATGCAACAAATTCACAAGCTGCCTGTGAAGCGCAATATATAGTAACATACATTGCGGAAACCAAGTTATTTTTGCTGTGATGCAGATTACCAATCCACCCTAACGGGTACCCATTCACTAATGAATGAGCATGGCAAATAGTTAGTAACTGATCTGTTAGCGGGAGTATTCAACCAAACCATTCTGTAACCAGCCGGCAAGGAAACTAACCCCACAGATAAAGTGGCACTCTCATTTATACTGGTCCTTGACTGGGATCGGACTTTTTAAATTACAATATTGTTTGATTGTTTCAATAAAATATGGACGAACGCTACCAGTATGCTAAGACAGCCGTTTTCTAATATATCCCCGTAACATTGCAACATTGCAGCACATGATAAACTGGGCGGTTCACTCAAATAATATATCTATAAGCGATTTCTTATACAAAGTTTTCCGCCGTGATATTGCGGGAACATTGCTAAAAGCGGCGTTAAACTAAACTCACTCACCCACTCTTATACAGAGCTACCTCAAAAATTGAAATTGATTCTTAAACATTGCGAAAGACTGGCATGATGTTATTTTTTAGTTTATGATATTATCGAAACGTAAACACACACGGCTCCAAATATGCTTTATATCGAGATAACATTGCATATTCGAACTTCAATGAAGCAATGACGCGATAATGTGGACAGTTGACCAACCTTCACTATGGAAGGTCCTGGGGACCATCAGGTTGGCGAGATGCAGACATCTGTTGAAGTTTTCTTTCGCCTTGTTTTTCATCATCAGAACCTGGTCGTAGACCTGCCCCAGGCGCGAATGGGCAATTGCCTCCATCTCGAAGTCATTCTCTCGGGTCAGCATAATCGCCTGAGAAGAAGAAAACTCCACCTTTAATTGTGTACGTTTATAGTTTCGCTTTCAGTGCGACATCATGGTGCTAAGACTATGAAGGTTCAGGCGTTGGTGTTTTCTGGTGACAATGAGCAGCAGCTTGTCTCTGTAGCTCATCCTAATTAATTTCACAAAGCCTTAACCAAATTATGGTGTCAAATATCTGGATACTTGGAACAATATGTTACTAGTGACGTAGTTTTTGACAAAATGCCGTGAACGAATTTAAGATTTTATAAGGTAAAATGTATTCTTAAGATATTTTTACAATAACTTTCGCTCGTCACGCCGAAGATCCGAGTTCGATTCCCCACATGGGTACAATATGTCAAACCTATTTTCGTGTCCCCCGCCGTGATTATGCTGGAATATTGTTAAAAACGGCGTAAAAGTCACGAATTCACCCCAACTGTCATCGTCCTTTGCTTTACCAGCCAGTTACTGCCAACAAGGCTTTGAGATCTGTGATGGCTACTCACCGTTCTGTACCAGTCAGTCACCTCCCACACCATGTCTATGTTCAGTACCTCTTCGTCACGGATCACACGTGACAAGAGTTCGTCACCTGTCACAAAGTATTTTTACAATACGTGTTATTTATATTGTTAAATTTCCCCCCAAACTAATATTCAGTGTAGCACAGGAGAAATGCTGTATATAGACGCTGGTATCATATGGCATCATCAACAACAGAACATCCGACAAAACAGATTCCAAACTAGCGGTGAAAATGAAATGAACGAACCTCTGAAAAACCATCCTCGATAATATCCAGGGTATACGTTCCGATAAATCTCCACTATACTGGATGCATCTAAGGCTTATCTGATTGGCTACTGTGAGAATGCGGAGCCAGCAAAGGGAGGTAATAAAATTATCGAGCCGTAGATGCATCCAGGGTATAGTAGATGTTTATCGGAACATATACCCTGGAGATTATCGAGGATGCTGAAAATCAATCATGGCATATGTTGGCCACACAGGGTCACCAGGTCGTGCCCAACCTGCAGCACATACAAGCCTCCCACTTTACACGTGAAGTATGTGTGTGTTGCTCCACACACATTTGCCATCTTGCCCGGATTTTAAGAAAACAACATAGTTGTCCACCTAAGCAATTTGGAAATATAACAATTATTTATCAGTATTTAAATAAGGACGATGGTTTACTCTTATCACTACTTCATGTTATTCCACAATGCCAACCACGAAAAGGACCAGTTCCTAGATTTTCGAAGCTCTCTTAGCGCTAAGATAGTCGTAAGTTAATGTATGGCACTTACGACTATCTTAGCGCTAAGAGAGCTTCGAAAATCTAGGCCCAGGAGGGGATGGGCCAAAGCTAGTAAATGTCGACGACGTCTTGATTTCTTCGCGAAATGTATGTGTGTAAAAGTTCAAGCAAGAATTATTTTGTGATTTAAAGAAAATAACAGTCATGTTGAAACTTACGTGCGGGGCGAAATATTATATGTTCACAAAAATCTGAACAAATTGTTTGGAATCAGGAAAAACACTGGTTTCTCTTCCTTCTGCAGAAGACATATTATTCTATCTCCAAAAAAGGTCTTCCACATTGTTTTAACACGGTCTTTCGGCAAGAACGGCGGAGACACACAAACCGAAACATGAGTCTTATTAACCAATTCAGTCAATGAACTAATTTTCACCTGAACCGAGACACTACAAACAACTATGGTTACACGAAGTTCCATTTCCCTAGTTCATAAGAAAGTGGTATTTACAAATGAATTTTTATTTTTAAACTTAAAAAAAATCGTATTTCTATATTTTATGGCGAGGTTTAGGCAGCGTGACCTTAACTAAGACGTCACAGACTGCCCCTGTTTCATTAGGTCGTAAAAATTGGTCTCAAAATTCTGGACTGGCTATTGTACTAAGTTGCGCAATAGGAAGGAACCCAGTCAACAGGAAACGAGACTGTTGTGTAATCAATGTTTTGACTTTTTCTATTTCTATTTCTATTCAATAACGTCTTACTCTTGAATCTTAGGGACCGTTCATAATTTATGGCTAGGGGGTGTGATGATGATTTTTATGGAGAAGCATTACAATGTGATTGACCCCCCCCTCCCCTAAAATTTACGTAGAAAGTAAGTGATCCCCCTGCATGTCATGTAGTAAATCAATGACATCCCCTCCTTCCCATAATTTTTAAACATTATTTTTTAATATCATCATGTACAAAATTTATGACCACCCCCCGCATGTGCACAAAATTGATGACCCCCTACCTCCCCATAACAAAATGGGTGATCCCCCTTAAAATCATCAACCCCAACCCCCTATCCATAAATTATGAACGGTCCCTTATTAGCCACAGAAAGATCACAGTAATATATTTAGGCAGATATGACTGACTACAACACTTACATGTATAATGCTTGAGAAACAAAAAGGACATGACATCATCACTACTTCACGTTACCTGTAACACGTGCTTTGATTGACTCTGTGACGCACATCTGCACGTACATGTCCTTCTCAAGGAGTTCAACCTCCTCCAATACACCAGAGGAACTTGTGCCCAGCCGCTTCGCCTCGTACAGGGGGAAATGGCAGTCCTTCAGCAGGCTCAAACTTTTCTTATACTCGCGCGTCTGAAGAGCCGAGATGCCAGCATGGAAATAATGATTTGCTATCTCAAGGTAGGCCTCAGCTCGTGTGACGTCATCGATGACGTATTCCACGGCAACATGCAGCTCCCGGATCCGAGTTTCTATGTCGGCGTAGTCCATGTACTCCAGAAACTCGGTCCAGCACACAATGGCGGACGTCAGAAGATCTTCCAGCCAGGACAAGCTCTGATCTTCCCCGGCAGATCTTGCATCACGGAAATATTTCAGCGCCTCCTTGAAGTAAAACCGGATCATGTCCGGTTTCTCTTCCCTTGCCTTCACGACGGGGGCCATTTTCCAGCATGCTTTTGCTAAGTTCTTGCAAGCCGATGATCTTTCGTTGGGGGTCGCTGCCGCATTCAGTGCCCTCTGATAATAGTTAAGTGCACTGTTGAGGCGATCTTTCAGTATCACAGGGCTAAGGCCTTCAGTGGCGGTTTTATAGACCTCATTGCCTCTCTGACGCCACACAACTGACGGTGACGTGGTCATTCTGTAAGATAAATGTAAAAACTCAGGTACTGTCGTCAAACATATAAAAACTCAGGTACTGACGTCAAACATATAAAACCTCAGGTACAGACGTCAAACGTATAAAAACTCAGCAATGACGTCAAACATATAAAAACTCAGGTACAGACGTCAAACATATAAAAACTCAGGTACTGACGTCAAACATATAAAAACTCAGGTACAGACCTTAAACATATCAAAAACTCAGGTACAGACGTGAAACATATAAAAAACTAGGTACAGACGTCAAACGTATCAAAAACTCAGGTACAGACGTCAAACATATAAAAACTCAGGTACGGACCTTAAACGTATCAAAACTCAGGTACAGACGTCAAACATATAAAAACTCAGGTACTGACGTCAAACATATAAAAACTCAGGTACAGACGTCAAACATATAAAAACTCAGGTACAGACGTCAAACATATAAAAACTCAGGTACAGACCTCAAACATATAAAAGTCAGGTACAGACGTCAAACATATAAAAACTCAGGTACAGACGTCAAACATATAAAAACTCAGGTACAGACGTCAAACATATAAAAACTCAGGTACAGACGTCAAACATATAAAACCTCAGGTACAGGCCTCAAACATATAAAACACAGGTGCGGACGTCAAACATGAAGGCTAACGCACGTACGTCAAACCTATGAAAACTCGGGTACGGAATTAATACATACGAGCGAGTGAGTGAGTATGGTTTTACACCGCTTTTAGCAATATTCTAGCAATATCAGGGCGAGGAACACCCAAAATGGGCTTCACACATTGTACCCATGTAAGGAATCGAACCCGGGTCTTCGGGGTGACGAGCCAAAGCTTTAACCACTAGGCTACCCCACCGCCCCTTAATACACACGAAGACACATCAAACAATTACTATTTGTGCTGTGTAATACATTTTGTCTCACCACAACAAATAACGACCATGGTTGTGGCGGCAACCATAACGGTGTCGGGGGCGGGTACAGCGTTTTGACCAAATAGATTCGCCTGTGCTGTGAATGGTGAACACCCGGTGTAGCAGCCCAGAATAACCCCCCACCAGATTATACCCCGGGGTAAACTATAGGGTAGCCCAGTTTATTCCCCGGGGGTATATTCTGGACCAGGCCAAAGTATACCCCTCCAGCCCAGACTATACCCCTAAAAATTTATGTTGACAATTCACTCAATATGAGTGTGTGACTCGGGCAATGGTCTTGGTGTCATTTAAAGGAATTTGTAGATGCATTTCATTTACATTACTGCATAATACAACATGTATTAAGTATTTGTTTAGTGCCTCTCTGCAATATGATATTTTCAACTTTGCGTAACCCTGCCATGTTGATATATCAAGGTTAGTAGTTAGTTATTTGCTTTATTTAGCGTCGCACACACAACTAAGGTATTTCGGCAACGGGAGTGGCCTGGACAGAAACTGAAGCCCCGCCATGCGTCGATCCAGGTTCGACCATGGACAGGCAGCCCCGATAAAGCTGATCCATTGATGACTGTGTGACGTAAAATAGTGACACAGCAACTCTCTGTCACGCTTTACTGCATTCTAGTACTGCCCGGACTCACGGCTGGTCTTACACCAGTACATACTGATTGATTCACTGGAGACAACTGCCCGAACGATCGTGGCCTACATATACACAAGCGGGTATGTTACAGTACAAGACGGCCATTGTCATTCTTCACAAATGACATCATTCACATTTATAGATTCAAATGTTAGCTTCGAAACCTGTTCCATTATTTGACGTCGAGACTACGATTTCATGTCAAAGAAATCAGTCATCCTATAAGTGTTGTTTATGAAGTCGATATAGACGGGTGATAACATATATCTACTGTTATGATACACATGTGCAAGTAAATATACAGGGAGCTCTTCTGTCAGCGACATGCGACACAACCCTGTGTCTGTGAATCACGACCATGAAGGCATCCGGCAGACAGTAGGCTACACACAAGGTGGCCATGGCACCACTGCGCACAAACAAGGAATCGTCCCAACTGACAGGTGCGCTGGCTTATATAATCAGTCAAATAGCTATACGAAGAATGTATCACACTTTTACCTCAGTATTCAGTGAGCCACTGTGTTCAGCACGTCGTACTCCGGTGGTTTGCTCAAAACGAACCTTGGTATGTTGCAATCTAAAACGAAAGTGGATGCGTTGGAATCGAAAGCGAAACTAGAAAGACAAATGTTGTCGATAACAAGTGTGTAAAACATTGAAGGTAGTAGAATGACCTGGCAGGTATTAGGTGAACAAAGCATGTCACCTGACGTAGAGAAGGATGGTTGTGTGATTACGATCAGAATACATACACGACGGCTTGTTGCTAACCCGGTCATACAGCTACCTGCTCCGCATGTACAGACACGTTTCGCGTGTTACATGTGATAAATTGTAATATAATAATGTAATTGCTTGTTTTCAGTCATGTTTACTTAAAAACAATAAATCTCAAAAGGCATAATTGTGCCAAGTAACCTTTTATCCAAACTTTACAGATACGGTGATAGTTTTACTGTGGCTACTTCTGGGTAAAGGAAGCGTTTTCCTAAATTTTATCAGTATAACATACGAAAACAGAGTGTGTGAAAGGTTTATTCATTTTGTATAACTTGGACAGTCAATGTTCACTTTTATATTCCTTCAGATAGTTTTGGTTTAAAACAAGTTTTAGTTTTGTATGTTGTTTAACGCTGCACCCATCAATATTCCTGCTATATGGCGGCGGTCTGTCAGTAATCGAGTCTGGACCAAATAATCCAGTGATCAACAGCATGAGCACTAACCTACGCAACTGGGATACGATGACACGTGTGAACCAAGTCAGCGAGCCTGACCACCCGATCCCATTAGTCGCCTCTAACGACAAGCATGGGTTACAGAAGATCATGAGCTCTGGTCCTATATTAAAAGACTGATATGTTTGTAACAGAGTATACATTGTTAGGGCCGGGTGAAAATATACTCCTTATGGCTGTCCGATACATCACGCAGTCTTTCGAAAAGAGAGATCATCCGTACTCCCTGTTTTATACTTTAAAACAAGCCATGCCCCGCCACATCGTCCATAGGCGAGCCCAATATGTACGGGTCTTTTGTTTGCCACTGGTTACCAGCCTAGTTACCTGTTGTCTACAACTCACATCTGAATAAATAAATAACTACCACACATAAATATAACACATTTTAGATATCATATTGAGAGATCATAATAAATCACGAAAACGTATGTGAGCGCGTTTAATCAATCCCTTCTGCCGATAATAGACTCGTCTGGTAAGCGTGCATTTCATGCGTGTTTGGCTACAAAACTGCCAGGTCTCTCAACGCTCGTGCACTCTGTCCCTATTCACTGACAGCGAAGCAAGACAAGCAACGTCCTTACAATGACTTCAAAGCACATTCCACGCGTTTTCAACTCGACCAGTGGACTTCTTGCAGTGATGCGAGAGGTGAGCATTTAAAACATTTATATTGGCGAAACCAGGGACAAACTGGTAAGTGCGATTAACTTGTGGAATATTGGCGAGGAATGTGAATAGGTAAAAACCCAATCGGTGCATGGTTTGAATTGAGCATTTAGTTTGGGAGACCACTGAATATCGGCTTATTACCTTTGAAATCCCAGAGACTATATTTCTCATTTAAGTGTGACCTCTTGTAGACAAAACATCTGAGGTCTCAAAAATATTTCAATCATTTACATGGGCCATGGATCCAAGTGTCCTGTGATAGGTCCGTGTTAGGGGGCGACAAGGCCACGTGGAAATAGTGCAACACATATGGCTTTTTGTCAAACGTTTCCAGCTCATGTTAGAAAATTCGGCACCGCAATTTGTATTTGGTTATTACCACCAGTTCGACGCCCAACACCAGCTGCAAGTGGTGGGACTGTTGCCATGTTAAAGATCTGTTTGCTTCGACAGTCAATATACCTATTTCCTATACATTACCAGCTGGTATAAATATTTCATTTCATCTGTTCGTCGTTATAACACAATTTCGACATGAAACGTCAGTAGACAAGTTGATTAATGTTTAATGTTATCCTGAGATGATTCGACCTTGCCATATCTGTTCTAGTTCTTGGCGAGTGTGGACCGCCTGAACCAAACTGTGCTGTTTCCCGTCAGATTACAGGTACGTAGTTTCACGTTTGTTTAACGTCTCAGAAATATTTCAGATATTCGTATGAATACATATATATGCAGACCATATTACTATACTGACAGAGCATAATCACAAGAAAACTCACATTGAATCTCCAGTGATGGAGGAAGTCAAACTTCTTGGCTCACGAGGTTGTGACGTCACGGCAGACTAGAAGTTAAATAACGTGTAACCTTTCGCCATACATTGGCGGGACCCCTAAAGATCCGGGTTAGAATTGATCTTCAGCCAGCCTTTCTATTTAGACGTAGAACATAGCGGAAATATACCCAATACCTCACGAATGAGAGATGTTTATAGCTGTAAGGGGGCCACCGGCCCATTATACAAGTACATACAGACTTGTTATACTGACGTGGAGCGCCAAGGTTGTTAAATCGAACACGCTTTTTCATACCAAGAAATACAAATCGTGCAAGACTGTCAATGGCATCGACGTTTGTAGAGGATAATAAGTGAATAAACTTCTCAAATGTTGGATAGGTAGTGTAATATACTGGTAAAATGGAGTTTCTCAGAATATCATAAAATGGACAAACCATACAAAAGTGGTATTCGGATTCTACATAAGGAATGATACATCATGGACATAATCGTTCGTGACGAGTTAAACTTTCGTCCTTCAAGTAGTAAACTGGTTAGAACAGCGAAATCTACATAGTGCTATACGATCTGCGGGCACCTTAATAACGGACAAGTAATCTTCAAATTTAAAACCTAATTTGATGCTGGAATATAATTCAAATTTAGGATACAGTCCAACCTGTTCCATCCATGTTTGGCGATCAATGGCTATGCATCTTTCTTTGAACAAAGATATAAATTCCTGGCTGCATGTAACATTCTGATTAATCCACACGTAACCAAAACCATAACTGAATAAAAGTCTCTAACTTGGAGTGCCCGACAGTTACGTCCCTTTTCAGCAAGTGAATACTGAGTCATACGCTTTCTCTAGCACTACATTATCCACCTGGTTCAAAGCACGAACCCAAAACTTTATAATCTTAAACTGGTTAACTTGTAATGAGTGACGACCTAGCTCACCTCTTGCGACAAGATTCGGAGTGGATCTTCCAAGATGTAAGACTTCTTTACAAACATTTTCATGAACACGTGATATGCATGGTGATGGATGAAATCCCCAGATCTCCGCACCGTACAATAGGATTGGCAATATCTTAACATGAAAAATGTGAAAGAACATTGTATAGCAGATTAGCAAAGTTATGATGAACACTAGACCTGACGATATGAAGGGATTTAAGGGCTTGCTGACAGTGTCTGCTGAGGGACCGACCAGGAGCCTGTGCTAGAGAAATGAACACCGAGATACTTATAGGTGGAGACAATCTCCAACTTGGAGCCGTTAACATAAAACTTCTCATACTTTCTCAACCTTCTGGCTTTCCTGAAAACCATGATTTTAGTCTTGTCGACATTAACTTTCAATTGCCATTATTAAAATATTCACCTAGTTTATCTAACCTCTATAGCCCATTAACAGATTTCCGTTATCACCATGTCGTCTGCAAATAATATGAATATCTGCAAAATACCTTTCAATAGATCTATTGCTAGCATTTCCGAGGAAATCAAGGTCATTTACATAGAATGAAAATTATAATGGTGACATCTGACACCCTTGCTTAACACCAAAGAGACAATCAAAGAAATCGGTGAGTCCATCGTTCAAAGACACAAGACCTAACAGTGCTGTACATGTTCTGTATCAACCTAAATGTCCTACCCTTGACGTTACTGGTCCACAGCTTATACAACGTCCACACCTCTAGACAGTCCAACGTTGCCTTTAGGTCAATGAAAGCGCAATACACCCGCCCTTTCTATAGAGATAAATATTTGTCTACGATTGTATCCAATACATGTTGTCGCATGTTTTGAAACCTTTCCGAAACCCAGCCTGCTCTGGAACAAGTGTTCTCTTCAGCCCACCGCCTCCGTGGTGTAGTGGTTAGAGCGTCCGCCCGGAGAGCGGAAGGTCGCGGGTTCGATCCCCGGCCGCGTCATACCAAAAGACGTTAAAATATGGTACTTGTTGGTCCGTGCCTGGCGCTCGGCATTAATGGGTACAACAAGGACTGGTCGGCTTGGAGTCGAGTGGGATATTCATGCTTTAATGCGGCATGGTATCTCAGTGGGTTAGCACTATAAAACCAGCTTCACTCTTCAGTCTGGGCATACACACGCATGCACGTAGTCACGAGAGAAATATTCTCAAATTTCACCTTTCCTGTCTTCAGCCCACGCTGATAGTCTGTTACAAATAACTTTAGAGAATATTTTACCAGCTGTATCCAACAAGGTAATGGGTCTATAGTTGGAAGGGGAGTTTCTATCACCTTCCTTGTGCAAGGGAATGACGCCTACAGTCCACGCCTCTGGGTAAACACCTGTAGACAAAGTGGCATTAAACAAAAATCTCGGGTACTAAATACGTTGTCTAGGTGCATATTTGCAGAACTCTACTGGTACCCCATTGAAACCAGGGGCTTTCCCGCATTGCATATCTGAGATAGCATTAAGTATCTCTTCGAGTGATATATCTTTGTCTAGGTTGTCTATATCAGAGGTAATTTCAATACCTCACGAATAGTACAGTTCCATATCCTGAATGTTTGGGCGTCCACAAATAAACTGGTCCTCTGCAAAGAGCGATCCATGAAGGATCCGGGTTAGAATTGATCTTCGGCAACCAATGCGTGTCGTAAAAGGCGACTAACGGGATCAGGTGGTCAGGCTCGCTGACTTGGTGGACACATGTCATCGGTTCCAAATTGCGCAGATCGATGCTCGTGCTGTTGATCACTGGATTGTCTGCTCCAGACTCGATTATTTACAGACCGCCGCCATATAGTTGGAATATTGCTGAGTACGGCATGAAACTAAACTCACTCACCTCTGCAAAGAGCGGAAGGCCAATGGTTTGAGCCCCAGCCTTACGTTCCTGAAGACGTCGAAATAATTCGCGCTTGTTACTGCCATTTCTGAAGTTGAACATTCCGGGTACAAAACGGGTCTTGTCAGTTTGAAACCAGGATGTGTCTGTTGTGTTGCTATCCACCTTTAACTGGCATGGTGTCCCTGCGAGCGTGCACTTGAGACTATAGTCCGCAGTACAAGTGCATGCATGTAGGTTGCTATACAAATAGTTATGTGATCATAATCTGAGTAATTAGGTATTGAGTGCAGCATGTATTGTTCCCTGTTCATGGGTACCAATCCACGTTCGTAGCGCTACGACATTCGTAAGGCTATGATTAACTAAAGCATTACGACAGGTCGTAACGTTACGAACGCTTTGTGGATCGGGACCCTGATGTCCCCTGCATGTTGACAGGATCTGGACCAGTCTCAGCTGACCAGCGATGACCAACTGCTGCAACTCATTAAACAGACCACAGATGACGACAAAGAAGGTCGGTACTTCAGGAAGTTGTTCTAAAACACGAAATGAATACATTTCGCACCTTACAATGCTCAGTACATTGTTGACCTCGAGTCCGCTATTTTGATGATTGTACTGAACAATTTAATGGCGGAATGTCATTCACTCGTCCAGCTTAAGACAAGACCACATTCAGAAGTCCACCCAGTTTTACACAATTTGTTACTAATGATTGTACATGGATACACTACGTGGAGTAATTAAGATTGTCTGTCAAGTCAAGGTTAGGTCGGGGGTCGAACTCATGAGCAAACTTTCTTTCATGCTTGTCGAAAGAGGCGACTGATCAGGTGGTCCGTGAGGATTAAGTTGAAGCGTGTAATCAACCCCTAATCCAGAAAGGATTATTCACAAGCCGCCGTCTTATAGCTGGAATATTGCTGAGTGCGGCAGTAAACAAACCACACCACACAATTGGTCAATATCAGTCACCGGATGTGACGTAACCGGTATATTGTTAAAGGTACACGATTCTATTCCAGCCATGGATCTCTTCGCGGTGTACATGCTGTTGCTGAATACGAGAAGCGAACTCCTGTCAGGGTGTGACGTCGCCGGGAAGTCGTCTGCCGGCGACTCGTTGCTAGGGCAACAGCTGAAGTCGATGGCCAGCATGCTACAGAGCCTGACAAAGATGGCGAATACAATACGAGGGCAGTACGAGACGTCATTGTACCTCGTCTAGTGACGTAACAGCTGTATACAACATTTGACACAAACCAGCGTGCGATGGGGGTAATTTGACATGTTGCCTTTTCAAATGTTATATTTGTCTTGCATTGTTCTTATATATACATGTTTTTTACAATCGTTTTTCGCAATAAACTTGATTGTTGAGCTGTATTCAGTTTTGTCTGGTATGGGGACGCTGAAACCCGTGCTGTCCCTTTGAAATAAGCATTTTTCAGTTTTGTCAGTTATTTCCCCTATGCCACGTGACATGGAGTTGGTCATTCGTAACTACTCGCCTCTTTCCGTGACCTGAAAGACGACTCGTACCTGTATTGTACGCCATTGTCAAGAATCGTGGCAAACAATCAAATCGCGCGTCGTGAAATGAGGTCAAATAGTTTCTCAGCGATTATCGATTTTAATTATTTGCGTGATTATAATATCTTGTTACTGATATTTGTTAACGACATTTGAAACTTAAAGTGACTTTCGTGTTGTATTATAAATTGGCGTTTTCTTGGAGTGGCCATGTTTTGAAATTCAGTTAACTTCCTTGGGAAAAGTTCGAGGCTATTTTCATCTCCGTGCCGATTTGCGCTTAGACGAGGCCCAGTCGTGAACATGGCCACGAAGGGGGTACCAGTCGCCATCTGCCTTGCCGGAATGACGCGAGTAGTTACGAATGTGAATTGGTCATTAAATGTGACCGTAACATTTCGTACCAGTCAGCTGAAATTTAATTTCGGACATGATCGTGTTGAACAGATATCGGCTTTTCTGCTTATGGATGTTGTGTACACCATTAGCTTCTGTTGCCAGATATGTAGTGGTAAAAATGCATGTACATTCCCGGAATATCAACATGACCTCTTCTGTAACCCACCATTGTCATAGTGGCGACTGAAGAGATCTGGCTCGCGAACTTGGTTGATCGTCGTATCCTGATTGCATAGATCGATGTTCACGATGTCAGTCACTGGATTGTCTGATCGATGCTTGGTTATTTACAGACCGCCGTCTTCTAGCTGGATTTTTTCCGAGTGCAGCGCAAAACAAGAAACCACTTGAAGATTCAGGAGGATGCTGTTTCTCAAGCAGATAGTATTGAGTTTGGTGTTTGGTTTTTGTTGGTTGTTGTGATTCTGTGGCAATTGTTGTTTTGATCATAGTTGTGATCATTTAAGAAGTATCCCTTTCTGAAGTAACCCTTTCAAATGCTCAAATTCAATGTAAAGGGTGTGGATATTTTGACCAGCGTAATAATAAAATTTCGGTTTGCAAAATGACGTAGGTTTTGTTTAAACTGTTTGATAATTTAATTTTAATTCCCAACATCATTCTAACAACTTGCTCATCTTGTGGAGGCATGTTTCGATGTAAGGAATAAACTCCTCAGACTCATCAATATTCGCGCAGCTGGTTGAGGCCGAGGACCCAACCAGCCGCGCGAATATTGGCGAGTCTGAGGAGTTTATTGCGCTTAAACCTAAAATCATACATATTGGCGCCCTAGTTTCGTAACTCTTGCACCCGAACACAGCAATATTAATATTGGGTAGCACGGTATGCACGATACACACGTTATGAACACGCTCAATCGGCACGAGACAGCATATTGGAGGGGTACAAAACAAACGAAAATATTTTACTGCATCTATTTTACCAGATGTTTTCAACCATGTCGGGCGAATGGGATCCTTTTAAGCGATGTCTTTGTCACTCAAAATACATTTTCCGAAGCTACAACTTTGAATGTGAGTGACATTAATTCAGATTTTGAGGAAGTTTTGAAGGGAAGTATTTTGAGTATCAGGTTTGATATCACTCTGCAAGGGGACAAAAAATCATGTAGATACAGTTGGGATGAGGAATTGCTGCGTGAGTCGCAAAACCTAGAACAGGAATTTGACCAAATGAATAGTTCAGCAGATGAACTGATGCTTGCTTCTCAGCAGATAGAAAGAGAATGATCAAACAGCTACCAAACGTTTTGGCAAACCCCTCTGTTTCTGAATATCAAAACTTGGAAAATCTTGCAAAAATAAACATACAGAAAAGAAAAGCCAGTGGGCAGTGCGGATTTTCGATACATGGCAACGTGAAAGGGATGGGTTTGAATCCGAGTTAGGCAGCAAATTGTTAAGTCTTTCTGATGAGGATCTGAATAGAACGCTGAGTCTATTTGTCACAGAAGTAAGGAACCAAAGGGGAGGTCAATACAACGGCACCACAATTCATGAGATTCTTATTTCGATGCAGAGATTCATGCGCCAAAGTGGTCGAGATGTTAACCTAACCACCGACTTTGCTTTTAGGGGTTTGAGAACCATTCTTGATGCTAAAATGAAATCACTGGCCCAGGCTGGTATTGGCATGCATAGAAGGCGAGCTAACGTCATCACACCACAGGAGGAGGATGCGTTGTGGGAGAGGGGTTTGCTTGGGGATTACAACCCTGAGAAATTGCTTGAAACAGTTTTTTATTTGAATGGGATAAACCTTTGTTTACGAGGTGGGGAGGAACATCGTGCTCTAAAAGTAGGTGAATTTTCAGACTTCTGTGTTACAAGAAACAACAAAAACAATTCGTATACTCTGAAGGGGTTTCCAAAACGAATTCAGGAGGGCTGAAACATAAAAGATTGTCTGCTAAGGTCATTTCAGTGGATATTAATGAAGAGAACCCTGCCCGTTGTCCAGTTGAACTTCACCAAAAGTACATGTCATTGAGGTGAGTGAATAATTTAGTGATTACTTAATATCTTAAAATTGAAAATATGTGAAATTCATATTGTTTTAAAAAAAAGTTGCTTTTTATTATAAAAAAAACCCATGGAGACGGCTACAGTGAAGCTTGTATGCAATGTATGTACCACTTGATTGCAGGCCAGTGGGTTGTGATGACTTTTACCTTCTTCCACTCAAGTATCCTAAGCCTAACCAGTGTTACTCTGCCGCTCCTATAGGGAGACACGTTCTGTCTTGGGTGGTCAAGAGGCTCTGCGCCAGGGCCGGGTTTCAAGGATTTTATACAAGCCACTCCCTAAGGGCCACAACGGCCACACGCCTGTATGAGAGCGGTTTGGATGAGCAGCTGATTGCCGAAAGGACAGGTCACAGATCGACAGCTATTCGTGCGTAAGTATAGGTGTAATTGCATTTGAAATAATCATATACTGAACAACAGGTTGCTTTGATGTCATATGTGCCCTGGTACAATGGGACATATGTGCACTGTATTTAATGATCATTAATCACGTCTATGGGCGGTGAGGTAGCCTAGTGGTTATCGTGCCTGCGGTGCGGGTTCGATTCCCCACACAGACACAATATGTAAAGCCCATGCTTTGTGTGCCCCCCCCCCCCTGTCACACTGCTGGAATATTTGCTAAAGAATGTGTAAAACCAAACTCACTCACTGACAATCACTTGTAAAATGTATATAAAAATATATATTAGTGAGGGAGTAACATGTACTGAATAATTGTGTTATATACAATACAGGTACAAAAGAACAAGCGAGGGCATGTTAAAGATTGTTGATGTTGTCCAGAGGAAAACACCAACAACTGCCACATCGGCAACTAGCTCGCCAACACCTCACGTCTCCGACACCACTGACCCCAAGAGACGTCAAGACGCCAACTGTTCAAATGTTAAAACTGTACACTTCGTTGTTGAACGCGACGGTGCAAGAGTGACATTTGACATGTAATAAAGGGATGAAAACATTGTGAGGTTTTTGTTTCTATATTTCGGTAATGGCTGACTGACTGAGTTTAGTTTTACGCCGCTTTTAGCAATATTCGAGCAATATCATGGCGGGGGACACCAGAAATGGGCTTCACACATTGTGCCCATGTGGGGAATCGAACCCGGGTCTTCAGTGTGACGAGCCAACGCTTGAACCACAAGGCTACCCCACCGCCCCATTTCGGTAATGTAAGTATTACTGTTTGAATTCAGCGTTTGGACCGGGTAGGTAATAGGGCGCCAATATTTCAAAGTAGGGCGCCAATACACCAGAAAAAGTCGCCAATAAACGAAAGATACGGGCTTCCCATTCCATGCTTATTGGAGTGATATGTTGTGTAATGGAGGCAATTTTAGGTTTAAATGAGGTTATACAAAGTTTGTAAGGCCCTGCTAGGAGGGTTTAGATTTTTAGGTCTATAAGGCCTTGCTGTCTCTCGCCGTGTTCTTTCGGGGAAAACAACTCGATTGAAGGAGCGTTATTCAGGCATTGCAGTATATATAAATACTTGTACCCAGTGTTCGCCCTTGACCCGAAAAAAGCTACAATCCATAAGGACCCAAAACCATAAAAAGTTATGGGTCCTGATCAGAATGTGTCGGCCCTATATTATATGGAATTAATACTTTTGGTTATTGGGGATGAAAAAGCTGTCGGCCTTAAGGACCTGCAGAAAACAAGCTGTGGTTTACAGTCGGTTTGAGCCAAAGGACCGACATTAATTTCGAACGCTGCTTGTACCTACCTGAAAGTCTTTGAGTGTTTTGGGATTTTTAATGACAATCCATGATGGATTATAACAAAATGTATACACATGAACACCCACCAGTAACTAAAACACTGTGTTTGCCTCGAACATCAGTTTTACTGCCCATTGATACAGATTAGAATATGTCTTCAGCAACCCATGCTTGTAAGAGGCGACTAACGGGATCGAGTGGTCAGACTCGCTGACTTGGTTGACACATGTCATCCTATCCCAATTGCGTAGATCGATGTTCATGCTGTTGATCACTGGATTGTCTGGTCCAGACTCGATCATTTACAGACCGCCGCCATATAACTGGAATATTGCTGAGTGCGGCGTTAAACAACCAATTATACTGCCCATTCTATACTCTGCTCTAAGCGAAGTAAAAATTGATATTTGGTAGCAATTTACTTGCTGAGAAGAATACGTACAAACGACACTATCAATACCAGAAGTTCTGTCCATCACGACTACAACACCAGTCCGTCACAGTTGTCTATGACTGATACACCTAAAGTCTCTACATTTTAAACCTAAATGTGGCTTCATTAGTTGGCTATCAGTGACTCGTCACGTAACTGGGTCGCCAATAGTTTCTAAAACACCTTCAATAGTTTGCTATTGATCGACTACTTTTGACGGACATATGTGGGGGACCTTGTAAATTTACTCGTTTTATACAAAATGATACAGTGGGGGTTCTAGAACAAGTCGGCATTTTTAGTCTGGACATTCTACTTGGAGGTTCCCGGATCGTGTTCGGGCGACATGTCTTCAGATCATCAACCCGCAGTTATTTGCCTGATGGGGCGGTGGGTATGGTAGCCTAATGGTTAAAGCGTTCGCTCGTCACGCCCGGGTTTGATTCCCCACATGGGTACCCCGCCATGATGTTGCAGGAATATTGCTAAAAGCGGCGTAAAACAATACTCAATGTTTGCTTGCCGCCCTCGCAGCACGTGAACATGCAACCCATAGCTTTTGAGATACCGTGTGCTGCATGTCCCTTGCATGTGCATTTACAATGCTGGAGGATGATCGAATGTCTGGAGGTAGATTAAGATGGTGCTTAATTAATGCTGATGTGTGTATGTGGATACGATGTATACATTCAGGCTTTGTTACTGTTTCCTGTCCGTATACACGAATTGTAGTTTTGACCAAAGAGAAGTAGTTAACTAATGGGAACAATGACCGTTCTGTAATGGGATTCGACATTACGTGGCAATAAATATGGAAATGTTTTTGACTTATAGGAACTATGCCCTGAAATCAGTATAAGCTCGTTAAACCAAGGAAATCTGTCGCCTGGAGGCATAAGCATGTTGGTTACTTGTGTTCTTACTTCCTGCAAACATTTAACGGATTCAATCAAGGGTGATTGTGATTTCCATTGCCATGGACATTCGCGTGAGATGCAAGAACGTATTCATTCTTATACAATACTCTCGACACTGCCCTTTTATACACTGCTTTCATACATGTGCATGTTTCAAAGCTATGTAGCATATCTTCCGTATTTCCATGACTGTATTCAGTGTTAAAGCGCAACTGACAAACCGTTTATTCAAATACATTATCTAAACCTGTAACGCCAACGCCTATCTCGAATGGGCAGGGTAGCCCAGAGGTTAAAGCGTTCTCTCGTCACGCTGAAGACCCGGGTTCGATTCGCCACATGGGTACAATGTGTGAAGCCCATTTCTGGTGTTTCTCTCTCCCCGTGATATTGCTGGAATATTGATAAAAGCGGCGTAAACCTTAACTCACTAGAATGGGCGTAAAAGTCAACAAATCGTGAAAGTATATGAAGGGGAACAGTGATGCCACCAGGTGCCGGCCAAAGGGTAAGAATGCATGTCCGACTGAAAGATTACGAAAAAATAAAACATGCAAAGAGCTTAACACATCTCACATTGTGTAACCATTATCTGTAGGTATCCTTCAAAAGCCTTTCTCGTTCCCTTCAGTCCACCTCCCTGGTCACGCACAAACCCCAGCGTCCACTTGGCATCAGGCCAACGGTAGGAGTTGTCTGCCCCTCGGTACCTCGTCGTTTATTCTTCGTTTCTTTCCGGCCTTGTTTGGGTCACCAGGATAAGAGTTGAGAACGTCATTCCGACTCGTCTAACATCCGACGCCAAGTGCCCTGCTCCAGTCGGTGACAGTCCCCGATTCGCACGGAGTGGTCACCACTGGCGTCTGACAATTTTTAGCAGTACGACTGAAGGTAATTGTCAACAACAACAACAACAACTCGTCTCTGGTATCTGACACAGCTCTCGGTCTACACGGACCATGGCTGTTGCTGAGGCATGTGGTAGGAGTTTGGAGTTGTAGTATGCCCTTGATGTTCTGAAAATATAATTTTATTATAAACAATGTGTATTATTTCTGACAAAATACCTGAACGCAAGCAGTAAAACTAGGGGAGGTTGTGTGATCATTATTTTAAAATACACACGACTAACTGTGAAACAAGTCCTCTTATTCTGTGATGAAATATCTGCCAACTTGTCAAACCGCACACATAATTCCTCCACTTGTATATGGAAAACAGGACAGGTACACTCCAGGTGAGTGAACGAATACAGATTGCACAGCTGTCATGAATTCAGTTTTGCTGCAGCTATTAGAGTGTCCGAAGTGGTAAATGTAAGTCGAGTGTCTCACTTTGTAAAAGGAACTCGAGTATCGGGTCTTGTGAATGTAACTCGAGAAAGAAGTACTCGCTAGTCTTGTACAAGGTCCGTGCCAGGTGGTTGCTGACAGGCTGGGGGTACTGCTTAGAGTGACACGGAAGTCGACGGGGCTCTTCAGTGAAAGGTCATGTGAATCAGCCACTCAATGGCGGCAAAACTACAGAGATGACAATGTTGTGTCTGAATGATACTAGGTATTTTATTGAAAGGTGTGTGTGAATGTGCGCGTGTGTGGTTGCGTTGCGTTGTGATGATTTAGGCGGTATGTGGAAATGGTACTATTCTCATCACGTGAGTGAGTTTAATTTTACGCCACCTTTAGCAATATCACGGCGGGGGTGACCAGAAATGGGCATCACAATGTGTAAATGATATAGCGTAAGAGGTGTTGTGCAGAGGTGATAAAATGTGGAAATGATGTAGCCGTTTTGTGGAAATAATCTACAGTCACTGTTGTCTCGAAGTTAAAGGGACCTTTGTTAATTATTCGAGTTATCCGAGGTTTCATACAGCAGGGACTCAATTAACATTGAAGGAATACGCAGGGGAGACAACCGCATGTAGGACACATCAAAGGTCGACTCCGCCGTGTTTGACTGTAGTTGATACGTGGAAATAATATAGCCATAATGTGTAAGATAGAACTGAATAATGATCTCGACTCGGAATTACCAGCCAGAACAACAACTACTTGTGCCATAATGCATGTAGCGCTGTTGGTTCATAGTGGTATTACCTGGACGAGTGTGCGATACAGCCACTGGCCCGCTAACCTGTGGCTAGTAAAAATCTCGTCGGGCCAGTAAATCTCAGTCACTGGCCTGACGGACTAGTGAAGTTTCATGGGGTCACTTTGTAGATATATCACTCTCTCCGACTTGTTACGTTATAATACACGAAGTTTTAATCTTCTGTATCTATTTTTGTAATCTTCTGCTTAATTTCTACATTCAAATTTCGGGCTGGTGAATTACTTTGTGTGCTAGTGACTTTCAGGCATAGCTGGCCCGACTGGCTAGCAAACTGTAGAAACTATTTCGCACACTGATCTGGCCCCTATTTTCACATTAACATAGATTTACGATAGTCGTGGGATCGATTTGTGCAAAGGGGCCCGCCCTTACAAGAAATTTTAAGACCCGCGGATGTATTTCAACGGTTACGCGTAATCCTGTTTTAAGCGAGAGTTACCTCCCTTCCACCATTAGACGTCATTCTGACAAACGCCGTCTTCCATGTCAGGAAGTTGCATCATGACCAGAGTTAATGATGCAGATATATTGCAATGGTCCCTACTTGGCACTGCATCCTACACTACTGACGGAGAATGACGCACGGGGTGTTTGGGGGGTCCTCCTCGCCACTCCTTATTTCCACGAATTTAATTTGACACTTTCCCTATAAGCATGACTGTCCGTGCATGCTGAAACGTCCTATGTTTGGGTTTTATAAACATCTGTCAGCTGCTATTGCAACATCAATGCCTATTAATCCACACGTGACTCCTGATCTGTGTGCCACGTAC